TTGGCATGGACCTCTGTAGCTATGACTTTCAATTTCCCTCAAGCAAAATCTTGCAGCAAGGGAAAGTCATCATGGGTTGTAGATAAGAATAAAATAGAAGATTTGAACTCATTCATTCTTGGTCAATATGGACTGAAAATGTTATGGAGAAGTTAACTTCTCAGAACTATTTAGTTGGGAATAGATTCTGTTGTAAGTTTCGATAAAAATGTATTTAGGTTTATGTAGTGCTTTTCATTTAAGGACGTAAATTATTTTTATACAACATTGTCAGTGAATAAGGGCACAAAATCTAGGCAGAACCTGGCAGAACTATTCAATTTATTTACAAAAAAAAAGGCTGTCGAAAGTATTCTAGTCCTATGCTGTGCACCTGTTACTGCTGCAAGGGTGTGACACTGCAAAATTAGAAGCCTGTTGTAGCAATGAATACTAGAATCAGTAGTGGGGAAAGCAGAAGTGTGCTGAAAAAGGTATCACCTGGCAGTTGCCATGTTGCTAAACTGGTGAGCATTGTCACCAATTTCTATGAGCACTTTGATATGATACAGGGAAACAGTTGTTACTGTAGGTAGGAGATCTGAGTTCAGGTCCCAGGTCTGACTGCATTATTTTTGAAGACTAAGTTATGCCTGATCAAAACAAAAGGCATCTGATTTTACTCAAGGTATGATATTCAATTACACAACAAGCATTTGTTTTAATTACACAGTGCCAATGTAGAGAAATGGGTGTTGTGTATTTCTTTTAAGGCATATTTTAGCTGAAACTTATCAGAGTTTAAACACATAATAACTTGGTAGACGAAACAAAATTATAAGGGATGCAGAGATTGTTAATAATAGGAACATTACCAGATGTCAATATGGTTTTAATGACTATCATACACAAATGTACCTCTTTTAGTGGGAACTCTTATACTTTTTAACTGGTGGAGATCTCAAACAACAAATTTGTAGTAGCCTGGTATGTGTGTTTGTGTATCTGTGCATATATAGAATGTACATCTCACATTTGATTTTTTTTATATTTCTATTTTAGACTGTTAAGATGGCTGTGTAGAAGTGATTTATTCCTGTGTCAGGTATGTATAATTTTAAAATATAGTTTGGAATTCAGTATCAGGGGTGTAAAATATGTTCATAAACTATTTTTTACACGGTGTTAACATTAATTGTTATTTTTGTGATCCAACGCTTCAATAGATAAGTAATTTGATGAAACTTAATAGTTTTTTCATTGTACTTAAGTAATTAACACAAGTGAATATATATGCACAGTATTTAAACTTAATGTGCCGTTTCCAGATGAACTGATTCTCAATCTGGTGGAAGATATGCATGCACCAAGACTTTCTAGTGTATTTTTACTTTTAGGAACTTAAGTCATCCTAGCTAAGTTAGAATAGTCCTCCAGCATCCCTGATAGCAGTGGAAAGATACAGCATTCTGCAGAATGTGGGACCTGCTCTAGAACTATTCAGAGGTGTCTACAGTACTTCTATATTAATATCTTAGGATCAGAAATACATTTTTTAAGTGAATCAGCCATTTTAATTTACTGTGCTATCACAAAGTGCATCACAAGTAGTCTCACAGAGAACATGTAATCGAGTCCTTTTAGATTATGGAAGGAAGCCAAAATGGGAAAAGAAACATGTACTAGACGGCAGGATCCATTTGCTTATTGCACCCCTCTATTAATATATTTCCGTGTGACACGTTTGTAGAATTTACAGAATTATTCTCATTAGCCACTAGATGTCAGCATGGACACAGAAAAAAATGTGAGACTGTATTTTTCTGCCTCTTAAAGGCAAGGTTGGTTGTTCTCACCACACCTTAGTTGAAGTAGAACAGCAGTCCAAGAAATTTGTTATGTTCTCTGAGAGCTATGTAACCTCTGACCTTGGTCATTAACCGGAAAATACTGAAAATATTTTACAGGAAACCACACCTGGAATATTCTCTTGAGGCTAGGCTCCACGTGGCAGTAGACTTCTCCATTCCTTACCCTAACTTGCTTTTCTACTAGGACAACTTCCTGTCTTTATTATTAACATAGTTACACTACGATTGTGGATAAAAAGTGGAAGTAAAAATATTCTGGCAGCTTTATTTGCCTAGGTTTAGCAGTACTGTGTTTGCTTTTAAGTTGTACCAGAGATACTCTTTATTATAATCATAATAATTTTCAGACCAGTGTCCAGGGATTTTGTTAGATTGCTGCTTCATGTATTAATACATTTTAAAGTCAGAAAAGGCAATTGTCATGACAAAGAGGATAGACTTTTTGATAACTTCTGAGTGTGATTTTACCTTGGGTGAGCAAATTTCAGCAGTGTACACTAATTGCTGTAGCTGACTTGGTATGCTGCTTCTTTAATTTCCTCACGGATCAGGTAAATTACCATCCATTTTGGGTAGAATTTCTGTTCTATATCACAGTAGAAAAAAAAATCCTAATGATGTGAGTCAGAGGAATTGTTTGTGAAAGGCTACTGGATGTGCATGTGTTTCAAAAGGTGCTACCTTGTAGTCCAAAAGGTGTATTTTACTACATGTGCAGATACTGCTCCTGCAGTGAAAAAGTTGTCTGCATTCTGGAATGAATTTTGACATCTCTATATTTTCTCTGTGTTGTGCCTTTTTTTTCTCCTAGATTTGAGTTTCCTAATTGCAGTTTTTTCTGCATGCTACTTGAGAACAAAGTCAGCTCTGAACTCAGCTGATCTCTGAACCCTGTATGGTACATTGAAATAGACTGAATTTATTCCTTTGCCACATTTTTCCGGTTTATTAAAATGCAGAGATACTAGGACTTCATTCAATATTTAATACTTTAAATACAAGTATTGACAATCAGGTGTTTAATTCACAGAAGTAAAACCAACAGAGGATAATAATACTTGGTATTTAGTTAGTGTATTATATCTAATCTTTATGAGCATCATGAAAACATTATCTTAAGTGTTGCATTGTTACTGTAAGTCTTGTCATATTCACTTTACAAAATGGGTACACATGGCACAGGGGACTCTAAATAGCTCAAGATTGTCAATTAAGAACATAGAATGTTATTTTTCCTCCCACTATTAAACTACCATTTTTCACTTCTGTTGTAATAAATATATTACACAGAACATACCTTCAACTCATCCCACCAAACTCTTGACAGCACTCAGTTGAAGGAGTTCCAGTTCCAGCATAACTCTGTTGTTAAGCTAACTGAGCCATGTCAGAAGCAAGAAAACATTCAGGAAGTGGTAAATTCATTAGCACAACAAAATGAATGGGAGGACATTCTTTTTACATTGAACCTTCAGGATACCTCTAATCATCCTTCCCAAAATACGTGGTGAAGACTTACATAAACTCACCATTGCATGTAAATGTGACTTTAGCTGTTGAAGTTACCTGGTTCTGGGATTTTTTCTTAACACTAACATACTCCACAGTGTTTGCTGCACTATGTGCCACAAACAGAGTGGTGCATGGTCTTGAGATATTCAGATAATACAGCTCCTGAAAGCTCCTCTGCCTCCCTTCTCCTTCCTGCTCCTCAAGCTGTATACTCTCCACTTATTTTGGTGTAATTGTTCTTTAAAGTTGTAAGTTTCCTGAGAAGTTAGCTCACGCAACATATGCCACTCTGTACTTTTTTTGCTGAGGAACTATGTTTTCTTTGCAGACCTGACTGCACTTAGGGAAGGGGGGTTTATTCCTGTTGTACGACAGGGCATGTCTGGTTCTGAGAATTAGTCAGTAGCTAGAAACAGTTAAATCAGTTGCTGAGCAAGTGAACACCCGAAGTTGGTAGAGTGAACTTTATCTGCAAACTTCTCTATTGGGCCTGCCTCCCTCTTTTCCAGATGAAGCTGTTTTTGCAGTTGCTTGACAGTCATTGTGGATGAGGCTCTGAGCAACAGGATGTAATGTAAAAGCCAGCTCAGCTTTGAGCCATAGATGGTATTAGATGTCTTCCTGAAATCCCTTCCAACCTGAAGTATTCAATTATTGTGTGTTTCTCCTGAAATATGTTACAGCATGAGTTATAAAATGCTATCAAATATAAAGGATAGAAAAGGTAAACATACTTCATGTATTTTATTTTCTGTTGTACAACATTGAGTTGCTGCTTATGAGTTTACCTCTTATAGTAGTTTGCTTACTACAAAACAAGGATATATGGATTGGTATTTCCACTGCATGCTTAGGTTATTTGCCAACTTGTAGGAACAAGAAAATATGTGTAGTCTACAATCAGTTATATTCTGTAAGTCTAGAAACAACAGCATAGCCTTCTTGAATAGGTAGTGACAGTTTGTTGAGTATGGAAAGTCTTAGCAATATTTCTAGGACATAATTTTTTTTTTTGAGTGAAGTTAACACATACAGGTATAAAAGAAACAAGCATTATATCAAAGAAATACAGTAGGCTACAATATGACTTCACATTACAAAAAAGTTTATGATTTGGGGGAAGCTATAAATAAATAGGGGAGATTTTATTAAACAGTTGAAATGTCTTTATTTGACTATGCGAAGTACCTCCTCTTGCTGATCTCTGTTCACAAGCAATGTGTTCCTGTGTTTCATGGAGTAAGTTGAGAGAGAAAAATATATTTGGCCAATCACAGAAATCTTATTCTACTTCTTCCTTTTCTGTAGCTGAATAATTTATAAGCACTGAAGATCTATTTGTATCTCCTTTTTAATTTTTTCCTACATCATGAAAGAGGTAATCTCAAGTTGTAAAATGTGTACAACAGTGTAACAATTCTGAGATTGCCTGAGTTTTTCCGATTCCTGATCTGAATTAGTTCTTCAAATGTGTTAAAGATGTAAAATGCATCTTTTCCACTTTTACTAACATTTGTTTATAAATTGCAATTGTGCAAAGTCTTCTACTTTATCCATTGTGTTTGTCTTTGAAACTGGAACATTTTGCTTGGCTGAACTCTTGAGCTGCTCTTTAGCTCAAAAAAAACCAGGCCAGTTTCAGTGAATGTGAAGGATCTTTTTGAATGTCTTCTTGAAATTCTCATTACAAAGAGGATACAGGAATGGATTTAAAGTGGAGTTCACATATCCAAGCCATATAGTGAACATGTGTAAGACTGAATATTGTTCATGGCCATGGAAAGCTATTACCATAAATAACACAAAATAGGGAATCCAGCACAGCATAAATGCTGCCATTATGACCCCTAACTGCTTAGCTGCTTTCCTCTCCCTGTTCCTGTGCAGTCCTTGAATGTGTCTTTTGGAGTGGGTATGCAGGCTCTGCCAGGTTTTCCTCAGATAAGTCAGCCCTCTGAAATCCGGGTTCTCAGTCTTTCCCTGAGGACTGCAGGGTCTTTCAGGGTTAGGATTTGAGGGCTTTCTGTTGGGTACCTCCTCTGTGAAAGTCCGGTTGTCTGATGCATCACTTAAGTCACTATCTTGTGAGCACAGCTCCTCTTCATTCTCGTTCTCTTTTGTTACACACACACGGTCTGTTCCTGCTTTATCCAGGCCTGGCTCAGACTGGGCAGTGGTGAGAGGAAAACAGCTCCATTTAAGGACTCTCCTCTTACTTTTGCTAATGAATGCGTTTGAAGATTTGTCAGGATTACTGAAAGAAAGCTTTGTCTCCGTATTTTTGGGCTGAAAGGAGCTTTGCTCATCTTTAGGAGGGGGGTTCTTATCGAAGATTTTCTTCTGGAGGCAAATATTTGTCTCATCTTTTGTCTTATTATTGTGTATCCTTCTTTTTTCTGAGACAGTCTGGTATGATCCATTGATCCGCTCTCGGTGCTGACAGTGCTTTCGAACAGCTCTGAATATTTTGTAGTAGAACCATAACATCATGATTGAGGGTAGGTAGAAATTGACAATGGCTGTCAACACTTTAAACCAGGTGACTTCAGAGAATTCAGGTTCGCACTTATTTTCATCTTTTTCACTTTCCTCATTATTAACAAAAACATGCCATCCTAGGATAGGAATGACCCACATGAAAGAGAGGAACCAAACCCCCAGAATCATTAGGGATGCTCTCCTTTTTCTTCTATACTTGAGATATTTCAGTGGGTTTTGAACTGAACGATAACGGTCAATGCATAATATGAAGAGGTTGAAAATGGATGCAGTACTGGCCACGTAATCCATTGAGAGCCAGAACAAACAAGCTGGTGAGCCTAGAGTCCACCCACCACTTAGGATATAAACAATACTCAGTGGCATAACAGCAGCGCCAACTATAAGGTCTGCAATAGAGAGGCTGACAATGTGTAAATTGCCAACTGTCTGCAGCTTCTTTTCAGTTTTCACAGCACACAGTACTAATATATTCATGACAATAGTGATCAGTGAAATGCTTCCTAGTAACAGACCTAGAGCTGGGTGAGGGCTAGTTGAGTTCTCTGTTGTGTTTTTTGACATCTTGTGCACAAGAATACAGAATGAAAATCCGAGAAGATGTCCAGGCCTTGGTAATTCAGTCTTGGTTTACACTCTTGGATGAAAATGTGTTGGATTGCTTTGAACTATAGGAAATAAAAGAAATATGCTCAGTCACTGTAATACTAAAATAAAATAATAAAACTAATCTGTGCATCATCTCAGCATTGTCCCTTTGAGGACTTTCCTAAATAATTGTTTTTTGCAACATTTTACACATGGGTAATTTAAGATGTGTTCTATGAAAACAACTGGAACCAGCTCCATGAACCAATCCATAATGGTTGGCAGAGGGCTTTCATGGGACTTCAGGTAGTTCTGCCCCCAGAACCTGGAGATTTCAATCCTCATTGTTTGAATTTCTTATGTCTCATCAAATACATGATCATGAACCTTAACATAAACTACTTACTGGCAAATCAACTTAAAGTGTGTTTATAAAGATCAAATTAGCATATTTTGTACTAGTTTTTAAACAAATCAGTGATTATTCACAAATTACATCTAAGAGTTTGAGAATATGGCAGTTGGATTTAATTATCCACCAATAATAAGGCATTATATGATGCCAAGTGATAAGGTATTCTGAACAGTAAAAAGCCTCCAGCCAGTGTACACCTTTAGCTGAAACACAGACCCTCAAATGCCTCCTAAAACTATAGCCAGTGCCTGTATTTTCACTGGTAGGCAGTCGTTCAAATTATAGGTGATGAGCAACCTCTTCCAACCCAATTTAGGTTTACACAGATTTCAAACATTTAAAGATGGCAGCCCAGTTTTATTTCAAATACAAACTAGTAAAAGTTCAGGGAAAATAACAGGATTTTTCAGGGTTAATGGGAAACTTGCAGCCTCTCAAATGTATATAAACATAGAGCCTTTGAGGTTGAAGTTTGCAACTCATTCAGGTGCCTAAGAAACATATACAAGGACTGTTCTCCAACAACTTGGAGAAGCCACAGCCCTCCTGCATGCTTGCTCTTGCTGTTTGCTGCATCAAAGTGGAAACTAAACTGGAAATAAGAGGAGCTGAGACTGAGCATATAGCAAACCTTTCCTTCATGCCTAAGAATTTGTTTTATAATTAATGTTTAATAAATGAGCTATCTTTATTTGCTTAGAACTTTGGCAGGAGCCATGGGTAAAGCATTCAGAGTGAAAATTCTTTAAAAGTATCCCCACAATGCCTAGGAATTGCAGTACATGAACTGCAGTTAAAAACCAAAAGAATGACCTATTAAATACTCACCATAGCATATGCAAAACCTATTTTGCAAGGGCCCACAGTTGCCTGACTGGGCTTGTTTCCTAGTCACATTCATTTTTATATACTATTTTGCAGGTGTTACCTAAGAGTGGCAGATTTCATTTGTACAGACATGGGGGTGTGTAGCCTCATGGTCACTTGATCTGCGTCAGGAAACAACTGAAGGTGCACACTCCACTTGTGAACAGTCAGGTTATATATAATCATAGAATGTCAGGTTGGAAGGGACCTCAAGGATCTTCAGGTCCAACCTTTCAAGGTACTATTATAGTTTATATGAGATGGCTCAGCACCCTGTCAAGCTGAGACCTAAAACTGTCTAATGTGGTGGGATCTACCACTTTCCTTGGGAGACTATTCCATTATTTGACTGTCCTCATAGGCCTTAATTATAAAATGTGATCTCTTCCATTTTCTAACACAAGTATACTACTAACTCAAGTATTGGCAATAAAAGGGGAAAGGAAAGGAGGAGGGTATGTAGAGGGAAGAAAAGCTTTTCAAAGTTGAGTAGATAAGCTATTGTGTTATCTATGCCTTTGGTATCTTCTGTCAAGAAAATGATTAATTATATTTAAGTTTTGGAGCATATGATCAGTTGACCAACTCTATCTCCAGGATATATATAAGAAGAATGTCTGTAAAAGTGATACATATTTTCTGCCATTTTTCTCCTGTAGTGCTTGCAGGGGTTTCTGTTTTTGTGTTCTGGTAAATCTCTTGAAGCAATGAGGAAGGAAACAGACTGTAGACATATTATCTCAAAGTATTTACACAATGAACACTGGGAGATATGTATGGGATTTCTCATCCTTGTTATGCTAAATGTGGTCAAAATGATACAATGCAATAGATTATTAAATAGGCAATATTTCAGACTGAAATTTCATATTTCAATAATTCAGTATTTCATGCTAAATTTATCTCTTTCTTATTCTAATAATCAGGGTTGAAGCTAAAATGTTTACTTTCTTACAAGAGGTCAAATTCCTCGTTCCTTGAGTTTTACTTACAAGTGCCTGATATTAGGAAAGCAGATGTGTTCTTGGCAGCAGCAGCAGCATCATCCATAGGCAGAGGAATTACCTACACAGTGGAGTGTGAGCTCAAGAGCTGTATTCTGTAATTCTGTATTCTGTACAGTCTTTGGGCTCTGCCACGTACAGTTCTTCACTGGCAGCTGGTCACAAATGTCAGAAGATCAGAGAGGTCTCAAGCATCTCCTGTTTGAGAACAAAACCAAATTGCTCCATGGATCTTAAACCAGCATGCCTGGTGATAGAAAAAGATTATATCCTAGTCTGTCATTATCTTTCCATAGCTGTACACTATGGCTTCTCTGCTGGAGTGAAGTATATGGGGCATGGTCAAGTCAAGAAGTTGATGTTAATTGCCTCAGAGACCTCATAAAGAAATTACTGGTCTTCATCCCCACATATTTTCATTTAGATTTATGGTAAAATAAAGGAAGTGAAGACAACTTTAATTGAGTCTCCAACATGAAGAATAACAGCAAAGGTATCTGGCTAGACAGCTCTCCTCAGTTATTTATGAACTGCATATGGAATAAAACTCAGCAGGACCTAGTAACTGGTGTTGACTGCTTCCCAAACTTTCTATTTAGCTCTCCTGCAGTCAGATAGGGTAGGATTTGGAAAGCAGCCTGCAGAACTGGATCTGGAGTACATCTGCTCCAAAAAAGGCACCAAAGTCCAGTTTTTCAACTCATGCTCCACTGTTGTTAAAATGTCTTCTAATAAATGACAAAGCTTGATTACTTTTCTGTTTTGAAGAGCTTATAAAGGCTATAAATATCCAAGAATGATGTCATGAGATGCAAATCACTTGAGAACACTAAGAACATAAGATCATCAGGATACTGCTAACATCTGTATAAATACTGTGTATTTGTCATAATTCTGTCTTATAATTGTAATTTTCATCACTTTGTCATTGGAGCAGTTCATAGTCCCTGATGGATCTTATCTTCTCTGCTCTGTAGGGAGCTGTCCATTTAATATTAAAGTGAAATTGAGGAACAAGTCAAAGCGGTCTGCTAAACATCACACAGTAATGTTAGATTTAAAACCAGCCAAGGCTCCCTTGCTCTCCAAATGGTATCCTGACCACTCTACTTTGTTTTTTTTCTACCTAGACTTTGGGTCTGCATTCATTCAGACACCCTAGATAAGGCAATGTTGAGTGAAAATTTTTTTTTTTTTTTCTAAATTCAATGCAGAGCAAGCAACCTAGTCTGACTTGGACCTTCTGACGTCTTCCATTGTAAGAAGCCTACATACATATTAGGGTCTAATATGGCTGGAGTGGGACTATACCCAGTAACAAACAGTGTTAATTGCTGGAGTGGACTTGAAAGAACCATTGCCCTAGCCTGGAGCAAGTAGATCTTGAGGCTGGATTAGGATATTGAAGTTTACAGTAACATTGCATTTTCCCTGTTGAACAATTAATATTTCTCACATATGTATAATCTTCTGCAACCCTGACTTTGTGAGTATTATCCTACCAGAGACAGTGTTGTAAGGCTCTGGGCAATTTACATTTTGGAGTGTGTTGACAAGAAAAAAATCCACTCTAAGAGCTACCTTCAGCATGAAAGCTGTGTACTCAGAACATACTTTATACCTGCCTAGCTTTATCTGAAGCCAAATTGTACCTGTGGATCTATTAAAAAGATCTACCAAGGAGGTGAGTTGGCCACAGAACACATAGAATAGAGCAGAAATGCAATGTTATCTTTGTATTGCAATTGTCTTTTTGCATTCCCTGGCCTACAGGACTGTGCACTGCTGCTGTTTCTGCCTGAGATCTTTCAGATCATGCAGAATTCTCCTTAACAATAAGTTAGGATAGGCACTTGGCTGCATATCTTCAATCCCACTTCATGTGTGTATAGGGAAGAGAATTCCATGTCTTTCTTGAATCTTTTAATGGCCCATAGGAAGTCTCCCAGCACAGGAGCCTTTGTGCATCTTGTATCCACCAGTGTCTGTGCTCTTTCAGCAAAGGGATGTTGAAAGGGGTAGCATCTCTCTCTCACACAGGCCGGCAGGATGTGCAAGAGAAAACACTTCTCCTGAGAAGCAAGGGTGACTGCGCACAAAATAGCATGTGGAGAAGTTGCATTTAGTTGCTGAAATGTTACTGGTCGGTGCCCTCACAAACTGCTCTGCCTACTCTGCTTATATGGAACTGCTACACAATTGCCACTCTTTACAACAATTAGCACACTTTGCTACATGACTTTGTCCACTGGAAAATAACTAGAAAATAATAAGAATTGCATGTTATGAAATTCACTGATCACCTTGCTGTGTGCTAGGGAAGACTATAACACACGCATTTTTTCTTTAAACCTCCTCAAAGCAACAGTAGAGATGATACCAAGTATCATTAGCAGTCAGTGACCAGGAGAGCACTGTGACTTGCAATGGCAGCTTCTTACTGATTGAAGCACACAGCATTTCGTAGTGGCTATGAACTGTGGTGTTGCACCCCTATTCAGGAGCTACTTGTTCAATTCCTCACCTGTAACCCAGTTCCAAATAAAAGAACAGTTATAATACTGAATATAAATGCTCTAAAATTTGGGTGGTTTAATTCTCATTACACCAAGCCAAAGCTCACTAATACAGGACAGTTTTTAAAGAAAACAATCAGCCTAAGACCTTGGATAATTCTTTGGAATTTCTAA